AGTAGAGACAGGGTTTCACCATGTTGACCAGGATGGTCTCCATCTCTTGACCTTGTGATCCACCCGCCTCGGCCTCCCAAAGTGCTGGGATTACAGGCGTGAGCCACTGCGCCTGGCCCCCCGGCTTATTAAAGACAAAGATTGGAACAACCTAAATATCCGTCAGTCAGGGACTGATTGAATAGTTTTCTCATCTGTAAAATGGAATGCAATACAGCTACTAAAAAGGAACCAGTTCCATAAACGGATAAGAGGACCACCACAATAGTTAGATAAATTTTAAAAAGCAAGATACAGAACTCTGTGTATAAAATGTGTGCTGAAACATGAGGATCAGGAGGTAAGAATAAATATATGTTCCTGTATGCATAGACTATTTCTAGAAGGATATTAAACAGGTCGCATTGATCTCCTTGGGGGAAGGGAGCTAAAAGGCAGCAAGTGGGGGGAGTCTTCCTTTTTATGGCGTATCCTTTTGATATTGTTTTGGTTTCTTTATTCTCTGTGATGCATTATATATATTAAACAATTTTAATTATCCTATATATATAGAGAGAGAAAGAGACATTTTATTACAAGGAATTGGCTGATATTATTGTCGGAGTTGGCAAGGCAATTCTGAAGTCCATAGGTCAGGCTGTGATGAAGGCAAATGGGAACTCTTGGGTATGAACTGAAGCTGCTGTCCACAGGAAGAATTTTTTCTTCTGGGAAACCTCAGCTCTTCTCTTCTAAGGCCTTTCAACTGATTGAATCAGGCCCACATAGATTATTTTGGACAATCTCTTATTTATTTCCCTCCCTCCTTTCCTTCCTTTTTTCCTTTCCCTTCCCTTTTCCTTCCCTTTCCCTTCCCTTTCCCTTCCTTTTTCCTTTCCTTTTCCCCTCCCTTCCCTTTGCTTTCCCCTCTCCTCCCCTTCCCTTTTACCTTCCCCTTCCCCTTCCCTCCCCTTCTCTCCCTTTCCCTTTCCCCTTTCCCTTTCCCTTCCCCTTTCCCTTCCTCTTCCCTCCCCTTCCCCTTCCCTTCCCTTTATTTTTTTGAGACAGAGTTTCACTCTGTCACCCAGGCTGTAGTGTCGTGATCTCGGCTGACTGCAACCTTCACCTCCTGGGTTCAAGCAGTCCTCCCACCTCAGCCTCCCAAGTAGCTGGGACCACAGGCATGTGCCACCATGCCCAGCTAATTTTTTGTATTTTTTCTAGAGATAGAGTTTCACTATGTTGCCCAGGCTGGTGTTGAACTCCTAGACTCCAACAATCCACCTGTCTTGGTCCCCCAGAGTGCTGGGATTACAGGTGTGAACCCCCATGCTTGGCCTCTATTTCCTAAAGTTAACTGACTATAGACTTTAATCATATCTACGAAATAACCTTCACAGCAACAACTAAATTACTGTTTGATTGAATAACTGAGGACTGTATCCTAGACAAGTTAACATGTAAAACTGACCCTCAACCTGTATTAGTCATTCTTCACTGCATGACAAATTATTCTAAAATTTAGTGCCTTAAAACAACAACATTATCTTAAAGTCGCTGCAGGTCAGGAATCTAGGTGCGGTTTAGCTGGGTCTTCCCCCGCCCCCTACTTTTTTTTTTTTTTTTTTTTTTTTTTT